TTTCTTAGTTAAATATCTACATTACTCTTTGTTTCAACTAAAATTTCTTTCCTATATTTAAATCAACCCCTCTGTTCCTTTCCTTAATTCTGGCTGATTGTCACGTTCATATCCTACGAACTGTTTGCACTCTTCTGTTTGACGTTAGTATCTCGCGCAATGTTTTCTCTTAATCTTAGTAATTCGCTCACCGTTTGTCTTCTTCTCTATTTGTTAATACTTTTCTTTTAGTATATTGCACTTTGTTTGTTCTCTTCTCCACTTAACTTTTAGATTAATATGTAGCGCCCTGTTCACAACACTTTGATTTTTGCGGTAATTCTCAAGCATTTTTCTCTTCTCTGTCTGATTTTTACATAATTACCTTCTCTTTTTTTTATTGTGTCTTCAGTATCTCGGCACTTTTTGTTCCTTGTTCTGTTAGTTTGTTATCATCTCCTGCACCTGTGAACAGTCTTAATCACTCTTTAATGATCAAGTGTGCGTCCAACGGGAGAATTGAAAACAGAATTATAATGATTTAAATCAAGGATTAATTTTGAGTTTTGACGAAACTTTGCCACATTCTCACATTTTTATACATTAAGCTGATTTCCTGCGTTCAGTTTTCCCATCCCGATTTATTGTAGTTTCTTATTGATAGTATACTTAATAGATCAAACGACTTAATTGCAGGTTTTATCGTCGTTGCCTTTCGATTACGCCTTGCTTACAAAAGCACGCAAAACCAACTACTTGACTTAAAAAAAAAAATTAAAAATGTCTTCGCAAAGTAATACTAGTGTCCACTGAACGACAATGTATTGGAAGAAGAATCTTTGTGTAGGATCAGTAGTCGCTCTGTTTCTTCTTCGCCTCGTTGTTGTCCTCCTTGAGTTCCTCTTTCCTGAAAAAAAAACATAATAAATTTGTCACTATTTCACCTTTAAAGTAGACGGAACAGATTTCCAATGAAAGAAATTACTTTCTTCTTCAATTCCAGCGGGTATAATTGTCCAAACTTGTCGAACATACCATGCTTGATGCGAAAGTGACTTTAAGATTGTCAATTTATTGTTATTTTTGTTGATTTTTCACGGATAAAATTAACTTTTTCAGCTTCTCAAGTTACCTTCATCGTCATAACGTGTAGTATCGCATCGAATTTGACCAATTATTTCCGAGTATATTGCATTCTAAAGGAACGCTAATTCAAAGCCAATTTTAGAAAGCCTTCTGTGAAAAAATTCTGGCTCCGAGCGCAAGACAAAATCAAGTTCTTTTTCGAGGCATTTTATGGATGAAAAACAAAGACAAAAACAAACAAAAAAAATTACGATAACTGAGTGAACTGAATAAGTTAAGTGTGCTTATTGGTTTATCGTTGCTCATTCTAACCAGACTTACCCTTTTTTCATAAAATCAAATGTCACGTTATCCCCCATCAACACAAACGGAGCCCATTGGGAAGGTTTGGAGAATCCATTGCTTCTCAACCACTGTACGGCCTGGTGAAGAGATTCACTAGCACTTTCTCCACGCACAAGGTGTTTATAGAAATGTTTCATGAGCTTCGCCGTTGCTTTGTCTTCTATAGCCCACGATGCTACCAACACTGAACGTGCACCAGATGCTAAGAATGCTCGAGCGATTCCAATAACTCCTTCTTTTTTAACCAATCCACGCCCACTGTGACAACAGCTGAGTACTACCAGTTTAGCTCGCACTTGAACTCCTTCAATGTCGGTCATTGTCAGGAGGTAGTCTTCCTCTCGTGGAGTGCTGTTAGTAGTACATTGAGGAGAGAGGGCAATCTCTCCTCTTTTGACATCCCCATGTGCGGCAACATGTATCAGACTCACTGAAGGTATTGCTTGAAGAACTGCCTGCTTTGTTGCGCGACTTCCCAATAAAGGCTGAACGCCCAGCAGTTGACCA